TGGAAGTCAGCTAATGTCATACCCATCTGGAAACCCGGGAAGGATCCGTCCTCTCCTTCAAGTTATCGACCAATCAGCCTTCTCTCAGGGTTATCAAAACTGTTCGAAAGAGCACTGTACCACCGGCTCCTAACAACTTGTTACTCGAGGAACAGTTTGGTTTTCGGAAAGGTCGTTCGACCGTCCACCAGCTGACTCGAGTAACAAACATTCTCAGACGGAACAAGTCTGTTTCGAAAACATCTGCCATGGCGTTGTTGGACGTTGAAAAAGCGTTCGACAATGTCTGGCATGATGGCCTGGTGTTCAAATTGCAGCAGTATGGTCTTCCAATCTTCCTAGTGAAGATCATAAACAACTATCTATCAGACAGGACGTTCCGAGTTTCTCTGAATGGCATCACATCGGATGCTTTCAACATCGGTGCCGGGGTTCCACAAGGAAGCATCCTTGGCCCCATCCTATTCAACCTGTTCACCTCCGATATGCCGGCTCTCCCTGATGGTGGATCGTTGTCTCTGTTCGCAGATGACACATCCATCGTCTACAAGGGTAGGGTCATCGGAGCTCTGACTGCCAAACTTCAGAGAGGCCTGGACGTCCTGTCTGAATATTTCAACAGCTGGAAGATCCGTTTCAACGCGGCAAAGACCCAGGTTATATCTTTCCACACTCTAAATCTCCTACACTTGTTCCGTCGGAGAATAACAAGATCTGCCTGAACGGCACAGTGGTGGAATGGTCCAAAGAGCTCGTGTACCTCGGGCTAACACTAGACAGCAAGCATCTTTTCAGGGAGCACGTTGACAAAACAAAAACCAAGTGCAACATCTTGATAAGATCGTTGTATCCATTTATCAACAGGAAGTCAACCCTGTCCCTGAAAAATAAGCTTGCTGTCTACAAACAAATCATCCTTCCTGTAATCGAGTATGGTATGCCAATCTGGGAGAGTTGCGCAAAATGCCATCACCTTAAACTCCAAAGGAGCCAGAACAAGATCCTTAGGATGGTCCTAAACAGTCCCCCGCGGACTAGAAATTCTGAGATCCACCTCCTGGCTGGAATTCAGACATTAGAAGAACGGAGAGTATTCATCCTGGAAAGGTTCAGAGACACCTGTCTGAGATCAAATCACCAGATCATACGTGATCTAGCACGTTAGGTTAAGTTATACTCGTAGATAGGTAGGTTATCACTTTTTTCAATTCAAATAAAACACATCCTCAAAGGGATATTCTGTAAACTAGTTGAAAAACGCAAATATTAAATTTGAATATCAAATTAAACAAAGATGAAGAGCCAAGTAGGCTAATCAATTAAAATGATAAATCAATGTACCACCATAATCAACAGAAATAAACATAATTTTACTACTACAACTTTACTACTTTCCCGGCTTTCGATTGACGGACGGCGAGGAGAGCACATCTCCGTAATAGCAGCAGCAGTGCCCGACCCGGGCTCATTTAATCGGTAGACAGCAACCGCTGAGGGTTTTCTAAGTTTACCTCACTGCTGCTCCAAGCGATCTGCAATCCGTATCCAGCGGACTCCCAGTATACCCGGACGGTGCCACATTCCGTGGCGCATCTGCTCGGCGGACGGTGAGGAAAGCAGCAGCCGTGCCATATTCCGTGACCGACGAACGGTGAGCAACCATGGAGCACCACCATTTTGTGAAGGCACCCGACAGGCCAACCGAAAATCACGACAGGACCCACCGACCGTCAACGAGAATCAGCGAGGAGGAAAGTCAGATTAGTTAATAGACAGCTAAAATTATCCGAACGTCTTTGCGGGGAGTACCCTGTAAATCGGGTCAGCTATAGGCTGTCAGGTAAGCCGTAACTTACAATCTGTCGATGTGGAAACGGTTACGATGACATCGATCACGCAGTTTGGCAATGTACGGACAATGACGCCCCCAGAGAGTGACTTTTGAATACCCTCGAGGCCCAAGGAAGACAACCCTATATCCTATATTAGAGACGTGTTGGGAACCCGCGATGTCTATAATTGACAAATCTAAGTTTATGCCGGCCACCGCGGCGCTGTAATCGTAGCGGTGATGAACTTGAGATTATCTGTCAAACTGCATATATTTTCAAGTTTGTGATAAGAAAACTATGTTTTACGTGTTATTGTAATTGCTTTATTCAATAACAGAAAGTAAATATGAACAGAAAAGTAGCGCCGGTAAGAATGGAAAGTAAATCCTAATTTTTAAATGCAAAATCATTGAGAATTCTTCAAAATGAAAAAAATAAGTTGCTCCCAGCAAAACATCAACAAATAATGTTAACAATTTTCTTACAGTATTCAAACTGAGAATGCAATACTGAAGGATCATCCCAACGAAAATTGAATTAAAACAATTAATTTTGCTAATTGAGGTGAGTTGTTAGAACAATTTTACATATTGAAGCAATCAAAACAATATATATTGTTCCATCATCCTTCTTATAACTGAATCCGCTGCGAAACCATTAGAAGGTAATCACGCCTGGTTTGGTAGATTCAGATGAGCGGGACAACAACGGCAGTGCCAAAAGTGCCTGTGTCGCAGACGGCATTGGATAGTTTGCCTGATCACCAGGCATATAATCGATCGGAAACCCTTTCTTCTCTGGCATAAGTAGAATCTCTCTGGTAAGTAGAATTAGATATTTAAGTGCTAAATTATTGAAATAGCATTGAAATAAAATAAAAATTGTAGAACAAACATGATAAAACCAACTAAATCTCTGCATGCTTCGATCGATGGTTGCAAATCGTATCCGAATACAATCCTACCGTATTAAACCAACAACCAGCATCGGGTGCCTGCATTGGAATATATTTTACAAAGGGGCTCTTCTATTTTTATTTAATTTGGTTAGTCACGCCATAATAAAAAAAAATTCCATAAACTAACGATAACCCAAATCATTGAACAATTCAACAAATGGTTTGGATGATACCTTGAACACGTCGTTAAACAAATTAACCATAACATTTTATTTAGGGTGTCTCCATATCAACATTAATCGATGTGGTATGGCTGTTAACATAACCATGTCCATAACCTTAGCATGTTTTTTCAATTTTATTTGAAAACTAGTAATTTTTATTTTAAGATAGACACATATCACAATAGTTTTTTATACCCTGGACAGACTATGGCTTATATCATGTAATATAAGCTGTCTTGCAATGAGCACTCATACATCTAGTTTTCACTGGAAATCCTATGTATGAGTGCTCATTGCAAGACAGCCTATATTACATGATATAAGCCATAGTCTGTCCAGGGTATTAGGTTTTGTACAAGATTCATTCATTTTAATAGCATATTTACACGAACTAGCACTGTAATTTAACAAATTTCCATAAAAATAATGAAATTTCCAAGGGCTGTCACTATATGATCACCTTCGGATAGTGCTTATTCCTGTCACCAAGCGCGCATTACTTTAAGTTTGATTCGTCAATATGCAGTCGATTTATATGTTTCTGCAGATGGCTAGTATAGACTTCTCTGACGTTTGTGAAATGCACTAGTATTAGTGCAGAACTTGGGGTTAATTATAAGTATTAGTGCAAGAAAACCTTTGAATTCAACCAAAGTTCTGCACTAATACTTGTGCATACTAATTATTTTTTTTTTCCTTTGGTTTGTTTTTTCCGTCGATCTTGTTTTCCGTGCTGGGCACCAATGCTACCGACGTGCCAGGAAGGCAGCTCCCACACCTGGACCCTACCTATCGACCCATCAACTCATAAACCGGGGACCAACGGCTTTATTTCCCATCCGAAGGAAGGCGTGATCAGAGATGTCTCAGAACATCCCGGCGGCGCCGACTGGGATTGTATCTCCTCAATCCTTACGTGATAATTATAATTGTAGACGTTTGTAGAATTGTGTTGTACGAAGCCGAGAAATCCTCTTCTCTTCCACGAGCAATCACTGGGGTGTTGGGTATAAGGGTTGGGTTCATTTTGGTAGACGATACGCTGCATTAAGAGAATTTATTCATGAGCTGAAAACTAATTTGAACAAATCAAGTCAATAGATTCAACCAGGGCGAAAGCTGAAAAGATTGAAAGATTACAATGTTAATATAAAGATGCTCCATCATCAATGAGGTGAAACGAAAAGAGAATCATTATAATGTTAATCTAAAAGTGTTATAATCATGCAGAATATAATGTAAAGGGTTTATAAAAGGCAAATTTAAGCTAGGAATACAAAAAATGCGGTTCTGCAGAAAGCTTTCATTTTACAACTGTTGAAGTGCTCAAAGAACGCTCAAAGTTGAAGGCAGACACATTCTTCCATTTGGGATGTAAGGCCATGAGATGTCATTTGATTTACCTGTTCGGTGCAAAAACAAATGACAGCCAACTGATGAAAGCTACCTAATAAAAAAGAGATCGGTGGAGGACAATGCATTTAGTTGGAAAATTGATCATTTATTGCTCAAGAGATCTCCACGATTTTAACATAAACTAAGAGCGACTCGTCAACGTCTTCAACCAGAAGCTGCACAGACTGAATACTCCATATTTGACAACGGACAACACCCAGTAGCCCGGGAAATTTCCTTTAACGAAAAGTTCCACTGGCTGGAGCGGGAATCTAAACCTCACTGCGTGTCACATGCAGCTAACCGCACAACCACGAAGTCTACGAAACATTTAAGCATTTCAATGTTCTACTGATACACATTTTAATAGACTGCATCTTACACCGAAGCAAACAATCATTTCAAATTTGTATGCCATACGAATCACCCCTCATAACCTACATTCGAACAGTGTTTTGATGTTGTCGGTCGGTCGTACTTTGCGCTGGGCAGGCACACTCTAAACGCATTGCAGTGAACTGTCAGCGTAGTTCGCATAATGCCCGTTCCCGCCTGTCAAGAGGTCGCCACGGGTTTTGACAGATATAATAGCACTCACGCACGCACACAGGCTCGATGTATCAAAAAAGGAGAGAAAAAAAGAATCCAAGAATCATCTCGCACAGCGTACGGTATGGTTGCGGACAGCCAGAACACACAGCCATCGACGACGAGAATCGCAGCCATCTCTGTGCTCTACTAGTGGTGAAGCGAGAAAAATCCAATAGCTTCAGATTAGAGCAGGCACAGAAGTCGCGAAATCCCAGTTCCGGTCAGTGGTTCTGCTAGCTAGCGGTGTTCTATCCGAGCAGGAAGCAGTCTGTGATCCGTGCGCGAGTGATCCACCTAGCAATCGATGCTTTCCTGCCAAGCATATTTCGGTGACATTGTGAGGGAGTGAGTCTGATTCAGTGTGAAGTTTTTCCTGCCTTCGTTTCTTTTTTTTTGTGTATTAGAGAGTCGTGAATGGCTTTTTCGATGTGAAACAAAGTTGCTTTCTTCTGCTTGGTTTCGTTTCGCCGATGGTAATGTTCGAAAGTCCGGCCGTAAATCTTGATTTCACTGGTTGTGATTGAGTTTTCCGGAAAGCTCACGGGCTAGAAACATCGATTCATCATCGTCACATTCGATCAATGGATGGAAGCAGCTTGAATGGGCCAAAGGAATAAGGCTGGCGAAAAAAGAGTGAAACGCATGCACCGCAAAGGGGAACAAGAAAAAGTTGTACCCAAAGTGTAGTGGATGGTGTGAGTGTGAGTAGAAAATTGCATACATGGCGTATTGCAAACGAGTGTAATAATCACCGAAATTGAGTGGATCAATGAGTTGGATCCAGTGATTGGATAGAGTGTGGAAAAATCTGCTTGGATCGTTCGAGTGATCCATAATTGGCAAAGCTATTAAGAGTTTCATGTCCTAATGGTTCATTTGCTGGAGAACTGTCATTAACCGTACACGCACGCACACTACGAAGAAAGGCTACGAGATTCCTATTTGATTGATTTTTGCTGCTGCGGCTCTGCTTCTTCTTCGTCCTGTGCTGCTCGCCACAGACTTGGCACATTCCGGTTCTCCATTCTTGGATAAAAAAATATAGTAGTAACAGACTGCTCTAGTCGAAAGCAACGAAGGGAGCTTAGGAGAAGTTCGCAATCGGTAAGTGTCTGAGTCATCATCGCGACCGCAAAACAATCTAGACTGAAAAGTGACGCACGGCTTATCATACTGCACTCGGAAATGAGTAGATACCATGTAACTTCCATTCCTGGAAGCAGCCCGAGACAGCTGTCACATATGCCCAATTCCTACTGGAATAACTGCTCTCTGGCACATTTTCACACTTTGGACACTTTCTTTCATTTTCTTCTAAAAAAAGAAAATAACACTACAGAGCGTGACAGTCAATCGTCCGAGGAGCGAGTGTGAGATGTGTGTGGAAAAAGCATAAAGAAAACAAGCAAGTTATAAATATAAATAAATCTCTTAAGTGCTGCGCCGCGAGATCCATTCTGCGTTCCGCCTTCAACATCATCATCATCGTCGTCGCCTTCACCGTAACCTATGGATGGCGGCTGCGACGCGACACTGCTGGCTGGAACATCAGACATAGACGAGCAAGATGCGCTATTAGATCTCGACGACGAAGACAACGACTCTTCCTCCAAAGTAATGATGTGCATTAATGCGAGACTTCTCCCTGTCGACCCTGTGGAGGGAGGGGTACAACAAGCACGATTAGTCACACACTTACATACCACACAAAAGTTCAATTCTCCATAATCTGCAGCGCAGAAGAAGGGTAAAATGACACCTTCGCAACAAAAGCAAAGTTATCAAGAAAATTGATCATTATTTTTATAGAAAATATCGAATCGAGTTTCTACAAAAAGAGATGTCGGTAACAACAAGTTAAAGCAGTGGTGTTCGTTGTAGTACCGGGTACTGAATTTCAGAGTATGAATCTTGGACAAAAATTTCAATGGATATCAAAATCCGCTGGAGATATCTGACCTCATGACAGTTACACGTTTTAAAGAACTGTAACAATTAAGTTCCGAAAGAAGGTCCCAATCGGACCCAATCGTATTTTGATATTGCCGAGCATGAAAACTTTTCATTGAAAAGCCATTTTCAACGCAAAAAAATTGTGCAACAGCAAAATGTCGGAACAATATATCAGAAAGAGGTTCTGTGACAACTGGTTTCACAGATTAAATTCATTTCAGTTTTCCTTTATTTAACGTCGGTCTCTGTTCCGCAATCTAGTGCCAATCACCGACGGACATCGATTGCCATCCATTGACGGCAATCGAATGTGCAGGAAGGCAGCTTCCACACCTGCGTAGGATATCGCACCCATTCAACACACATGGGCCGGGACCAACGGCTTTACTTCCCTTCCGAAGGAAGACGTGACCAGAGATTTTTATGCCTCAGAAAAATCCCACCGACCTCGGCTGGGATTGAACCCAGACCCATCGGGGTGTTAGAAAGCAGTCACGCTTCCCGAGCAAAGTTAGAGATCAAATTGAAATCAGAATTTGCTGTTATGATGTAACTTACTTTGAATACTCCATTTGATCTCATTTTGGTTGACTTAACGGTTAACACATCAAAAATGAGAGCAAAATTTTACACTGTTAAAGCAAACGGAAAACTAATCCTGCTTTCAATGAAATCAATTTGATTACTGATTTTGCATTCATAATGTTTGACTGAATACGGGCCTGGTGTAAATGGTTAGCATCCAAGCTTCTCACGCTGAAAGACTTGAGCTCAAATGTCACCTCGGGTTGGTTGCGAATGACCTAAAATTAACACAAAACAATTAAACAATAATCGTTAGTTCAACGACAGATAAGCTTAACTTAAATCTTAAACAAGACGTTAACAGCAGAACTTCAAGTTAAGTTGCTTTCATTTAAAATGTCTTGACTGCATAATGAAAGCACAATTTGATATCAGACTAATGTCGTGACAATTGAAATCAAAATGAGTATTCATTATGATAGGAACTGCAATCTTTAATATCGATTTGCTTTCATTTTGTTAACCGACTTTGCTCGGGTTACCACTACACCACCGGCGCCGGCAAATTCATTTCAGTTAACGAATGCCATTTTCTAGCCATTTTCAGAAACATGTTTCAGTTGAAGTAATGATTTTTATTTAATTATGTTTCAGTTACCGAACGTTAAGTGAAATAAACAAAACTGTTGAATTATATCTTTCGAGCTGCGTACCAGCTTTTAGGGAATTGGAACTAGTTGACTCACTTAATTAGGGCTCCCTTAATATCTTGCACTACAATGTGTACACAGTCAATAAAAAGGTTAGGAATAGATTTTCAAAAATCCATGGCTTTGGCTTCAAAATGACCACAATAACCACAAACAAAGTTACAGACGACTAATTGGCGAATAAATCGATTAAAATAATGTGGTTCGCTGCAATACAGTTTTCTTAGAAGTTTGTAACATCCGCCACCAGATGCACTAGTATTTTTGATTTGATTTTATCAAAGTTGGTTTTGTGTGCAATGACAATTGAAAACGTTCGAAAGTTTTAGAGCAGGTGCGTCTGTCATTTCGTTTGTGGTATTATCAACAATCAATACGAAACTATCGATTTTAAATTGGCTTGCTACTTGACTAGCCTATTGGTTCCAAGCAAACGATTAACGTACCCCATTCTAGTTGAAATTCCAGTACTACACTATGTTTGTTTTGATTCGCTATGAAACTTTGACATATAAAATGAGGCGTTCGTGGATTTTCCTATGTTCCGAGGGGTGCATCAATTAGCTTGGGACCGAAGAGAGTACCAGAGTACCTTCTGGTCTTAGAGTTACCTCTATGGTATTATCAAGCCAGAGACGGTAGGTATGACTCCCGGTCTGATCTAGAAAATCTTTCAGGTTGGAAATTTTGTCGATTTTCCTGGGCATAATGCATCATTGAGCACAAAATACTAATTCCTTAGGATGGGGCTTATTTTTAAAAATCATTTCGGACACGTTTTCCCATGTGGAAAATTATTATTGAGACTAATTTAGTAACATTTCAAAATATGAAAATTTTCGTTGACATTTAGAGCTACCTCCAAGTCCAACATGTAGAACGATGAACTTTTTCAACTAAAAAATATGCTTTTATAAGTAATCACGTGGTTTTGTGAACCTAAGCCCGATAGATATATGACATAGCGCATAGGGAATGTGATTAAAATAGCCTGGAATTCCTCCGAGTTAGGGAGAATATCGTATTAAAGAGAATTAGACTTGTCTGTATTTGAAATGTGATCTGATTTCAACGTAAAGTATTAATTGATTCATAAAAATAACAGCTCATGAACAGGGTTGTTAATCGATAACCATTGATAACGTCAGCGTTAATGTCAGCAATGGTTAATTTGCATTTCAGACGTTAATGCAGATGTTATTGACGGTTTATTGATTAACAACCCAGCTCATAACTACTAGTTCCATGTAGCAACATCATTTGCCGGTGATCGTATTACGTTGCTTTTCCTTTCACTATTTACAAAGTTCGAAAAAGTAATGTAAATTTCTGTTCAATATGATACACATAAATGGAGCGTCACATATCATATACGTTTACATTATATATCATGTAAAAATTTGACACATTTCATGCAATGTATACAAAAACCCATCTTTGTAAACAACATTGTTTCCAAGTTGCTCGGTCAACGGCGCCGGTGGTGTAGTGGTAAGCGTGATTACCTTTCACCCCAGCAGGCCTGGGTTCAATACCAGTCGGCGCCGCCGGGATGTTCTGAGGCATAACATCTCTGATCACGCCTTCCTTCGGATGGGAAGTAAAGCCGTTGGTCCCCGGTTCATGAGTTGATGGGTCGATAGGTAGGGTCCAGGTGTGGGAGCTGCCTTCCTGGCACGTTGGTAGCATTGGTGCTCAGCACGGAAAACAAGATCGACGAAAAAACAAACCAGAGGAAAAAAAAAAAAAAGTTGCTCGGTTGCGTGAAATGAAATACAAGTCTACGTGAATGAATGTTTACATCACAATTAAAATTCAGAATTTTTATCTGTGTACTTTCACTATCACATTAAAAAAGAAACTATATTAGAAAACAAAGCAATTACCTGTCAAATATAAAGCAGGGCGCCTTTTAATGTGAATTGCTGTGACATATTCTCGGAACCACTTCGAGACTTTAAGAGCACAAATATCAGCTTTTACGACACGTGCAACATTCAAATTGTTACTCCACGTTTGTTGCACTGCAGCATACATGAAGTAGCAAATTAAGGTGAAATGGGGCACCGATTTCCGAGATTTGTGTAATTTAAAATTCGAAGTGGTAGTGCATGTATAGCCTACTTGGCGACCAGCACTCTACAAGGAATCACCTTAAACAGGATGGTGCTATTTATATAACGAACCATTTTTAAGAATTTCTCGGCTTAAATGTTAATGCTCCACAAAATTAGCAGCATAAACAATTCAAAAGATAGTAGGTTAAATTATGTTATACTGAGAGGTGAAATTAGTATTAAGGGAAATTGAAAAAAAAATGCTATTTTTGTTTCGCTGAGTGTATTATAGCACATTACGCACATTAGAAGTGTGACAAAAACGGCGAGAATGCTAATAGAAATCAGCGTTTGGATTATTGACAGTCTTGCAACAATATTTGATGAGATTAGATGCTTATTCAAGCGAATAGCATATTTAACTTTAAATTTGCAAGTCTAAAAAATCCATTTCAACCTATGTCCAGATCACTTTCTTCTAATACTTTGTTTATAAATAGTTATTTCACTTGGTAAAGGTCTAACTGATCTTAATCTACATCTACTTTTAAAACAAAAGCCAACGGAGGAATCACCAATCTTGTTTTCATTGATCGTCATAGATTGCCAAATAATTATATTAAATCTACTTATCCCTTGTTTTCGAGTCTTGCTCCCTTTTCGCATATTTTGTTGGACCATCTTCAGTTTTTATTTTTTTTTTCTATAGGAGATTTTCACCCGTTGGCTGGTTCATCTCCATGGCTGTTTTAAATAATTAATTTAATGTCTTTATAATAATATAAGGTTAATGTAGAGCTTCCGAAATTATTTTGGGGGAAATGGCCCTAATGTTGGCCTACGAATCTAAGATTGGGTC